TAGGAGGAGATAGGTTTTCCGTGACAATAAGTTAAACTTTTCAGGACAGCGCGACATAGTCCCGCGCGCCTTGAAATAGTCACTCAATGTAGCATAGATACCAAACTACAGGCTTCTGTAGCTTCCTTCCACTCAAGGATGGTAGCAGCGACTTGCAGTACACCTCTCCGTACGAAGCGAGGAAGGTGACTGAGCCTTGATACCAGAAACAACCATATATCTAGTGTTGGCGAGCGAATTACCTCCCATCTATTTACTGAAGGAACTCCCTCCCCGCCCCCCTTTTTAAAGAGCAGCCGTGTACGTATAAATTCACGTACAGGGATCGCAGTGGTATCATTGGAAAACTCAGAATGTCAGCTTTAAGATGAGACTAAACGAATAACTAAAGCGCAAATCAATCAGACACTATATTTAAAATGCTCAGCAGCTAATTACCTTGTATCTAATTAGTGAAGGAACTCCCACACCCACCCCCCATTAAAGAGCCGTCATGTACGTATAAATTCACGTACAGGGATCGCGGTGGTATCATTGGATAGAGCAGAATGTCAGCTTTAAGAGGATACTAAATACCAGAGAAGCCAAATCCGAAAATTTTAGGGTAAACCCCCCCCTTAAGAAAGCAACATGATGGCCCGTATAACAACCTAAACAACTTAAAATTAAAACGTAAAGCAAGATATAATTTTTCAAAAAATTTACGCTACAAAAGAATCCAAGAAATAATCATCATAACAATCACAAAAGAGATTGTTATAATACCTGTCTATTTATTATTTAAATTATTATAATATAATAACTATAAATATTATATTATAATGAGTATATTTGTAATAATATATTATAATAAATAATAATGATATTTATAACCATGACCTGCCTGACGCCGGGCCTGCTGGTGTACTGCAGCACGAGTCTCGTGTTGACGAAATGCGTCCACGTGTTGCCCAGCGCCGGCGTCACGTAGCGGGAACCAGGCTCCTCGATTTCGCCGGACTCCATGGGGATAATTTTCGATTCCTTGGCTGAATAAGATGAAAATATTAATTCACATCCTTAACATTACTTAACATCCTTAAAATTACTTAACATCCTTAAAATTACTTACATCCTTAAAGTTACTTTCAGTGTGGAGTTTGCTGTAATGAAAAGGCTCCTCGATATCGTCGGACTCCATGGAGATAATTTTCCAGTCCTTGGCTGAATTACATGAAAATATTAATAATAATTTACATCCCTAAAATTATTTTCAGGAGCAGCAGTGTAGAGTTTGCTGTGAAGAAAAGGAGCGGTGGGAGAAAAGAATGAAATGAACATTCAATTTCTTGGCTGAATGAGACGAAAATCTGGAGTTACATTGTTTAAGGATACAATTAGAAAGTTGCATGCGAAAATCCACTGAATTACCCGCGTTACGTAAAGTTGTAGAAGATGCAATGCTTTCCAAATTTGAGTGCTCGAAAATTGAACGGAATTTTAAATTACTGGGCAAGTTGCAAGCAAGCATTCATTGTAATATCAGTGTTATATCAAGAGAAAGAAGATGCTTCCTAAATTAGAATGGATCCAAATTGATCGAAATTTCAGCTTTTTAATTTTAATATTCAGTTAACAAACAATATTAGGAGTAGCCTTCCCGTAATAATTTTGGAATACTAATAATTTGTTAATATGCATGGCGAATTCCAACTTACGATCACCTCGGAGTGACCGAGTTGGGGGTTCGAAGCCCGAAACTAATTATTGTGAAAATTATGACTCAATCGACAATTCTACGGACCCGCCTGCGAACTCGCCTGCGGACTCGCGCAAATGGGACACTCATAATTCCTTCAATACTTAACGGATCTGTATGAATTTTGGAATGTGAGTATTAATTATCGATACGCTGCCGCAGGAATTATTACAGATTTTTACATGAATCATTTCCTAACCTAACCTAATAATAAGTCATGTAAATATCTGTAATAATTCCTGCGGCAGCGTATCGATAATAAATACTCGCATTTCAAAATTCATACAGATCCGTTAAGTATTGAAGGAATTTTGAGTGTCCCAGTTGCGCGAGTCCGCAGGCGAGTTCGCAGGCGGGTCCGTAGAATTGTCGATTGAGTAAAATTATGTTTGAAGTCGATAAGGTGGCCGAGTGGTCAAGAAACGATGACAGGCCAACATGGCTCCCTTAAAGCTACAATATTTATATCAAATCATTAATTTTGATACCTAGTCCAATGCACCTGCATCATCGTTGTCTAATTCGAGGTCAGTTTCAGCTTCTTCATTTAGAGCTTCCGCAGTAGCGGCATTTGATTCGTTCCGACTAGTGACTTGGTTGGTGACGATCACCTGGAAATATCGGACGTTCAAACAGGAAAAAATTTTGCTAATTGGTGCTGGTCGAACACATAAATTTCTTTCAAGTTAAGCTTTTATGAAAACAAAAATTATTCAATTTGCTTATTACAAGAGAATCTATTTTTGGATTCTTCTTACTAAATGTAAAGATGAAGAATATGCAACTATTATGGAAATGAAAATTAAAAAGCTTGAACAGGAAGTTCTTGAGCCGACACCAATTTCGAGTTTGCCGAACGTCTTTTAGGGAAAGCAAAAATATATATAAAATATATACATAAAGTATACGTAAAACACAAAAGTTTGAGCGGAAAATCCATTTACGAACGGCGAGTTTGCCGTTGGCTTAGAGCACTACAGAAAAAAAATCTGAAATTTTGTGTAGAAACCCTGTGGACGAACGGCAAATTAGCAGCTCAAAGAAATAAAACTTTTCAAACTTTCGCCAGTCATGAAAAAATCCGGTCAAATGACACGATTGTAGATCTTCTGCGAACAAGGCACGAAAAGGAATAGAATCGGCGACAGGCCACATCAGGCCTACAATTCAGCGCCGAAGATCACTATGTTAAGTTATTTCAAATAAAATTTGAAAATTTTAACAGAAACTCCACGGACTTACGGCAAGTTTGCAGTTGGCGGCGAGTGTTTTTAGTCGCGCCGCCCAGTCGGCCAAAACAAAAATCTTCTGCCAGTGGCCGCCGCCCCCCGGTGCGTGGGCCGGGAACTGCTTACGCACCAGCGATGCTATCGAGTCTACGATCACCGCTCCAGCACCAAGCTCCAGCGCCTGCAGCTCCAGCCCGTCCAAACTGAACTAAAAAGCTAATTTATTTCCGGGAAACTCTTCAAGTTTAAGACGTGCTTCAATTCATGACTGTTAATATTAAAAGTATCAATATCTTATAATATGTTCAGTGGATACCTAATTACGTAATTATCGATGGTGCGCAATTCGAATAAAGGCTTACCTAGCTCAATTTGAGCCGACTTTTAGTTATAGTTTTTGTTCGAGATGTCCAAAAGTCTTCTAAATTAACATTTATTACATTAGAATTAATAATAAATTAGCAAACATTACATTTTCTGGAGATGTTCAACAGAGCTCGGGCGGTGGACGACGATGCTGGCGAGCAGCTCTGGCAGTCTCGCCTGCTCTGCCTCTGACAGCCGCTCTGACAACATCTCAACCACTCTGGCGTTAATGCAACGATTCTCAATATTATCTATCTAGATTATTAGCTGCAGGTTATTAAATACCAAAAACTGCCTCTGACAGCCGCTCTGACAACATCTCAACCACTCTGGCGTTAATGCAACGATTCTCAATATTATTTAATCAACGAACGTTACATAAAACTTGTCAATAATCTCTAATTATTGACCATTATATAAAAGCTGTCAATGTTCTCTAATCACAGAACATTACATAAAAATTGTCAGTAATCTCTAATCATTGACCGTTATATAAAAAATATCAACATTCTCTAATCATGAGTGTAGACATAGTAGACATCAATCATGCACAGAACTTTGGCATACATAGATTAAATTAAAAAATATTGATAAAGTTAAGCACAAGTTTTTCATCTATGCAAGCGTTTAATGTTTTTTTTTGTTGCATAAAGCAACAAAAACCTTGTTGCGCTAAGGAAAAAGAAAAAAAAATTCTTATTTTTTTTTATCAAGGAGTCGAACGAAAATTCTTGCTAATCTTGCTGGCCATGTCAAATCCAAAAACAGATTATTAGCTGCAGGTTATTAAATACCAAAACCAAATATCAAATGCAACAGGCAATAAAATGACAAAAAGCGTTTCAAAATATATACATTAATTGTTTATTGACATACCGCTGAGGCGTGAAGGCGGCCTCGGTGTCGATGTATATAACAGGGGCGGGGGAGCTGCCCCCCAGCAGGCACTGCAGCGACAGGCTCAGGCACCACTGAGTCTTGCCTACACCTGAAGGTCCTGTGCGATGTTACCGTGTAAATAAAATGAAAGTTACCGTGTAAATAAATTGAAAGTTACCGTGTAAATAGAATGAAAGTTACGGTGTAAATAGAATGAAACTTACAGTGAATGTAGAATGAAAGTTACGGTGTAAATAGAATGAAATATGTTATGGGTCATATCCTGTCCAGTAGTTACGGTGTAAATAGAATGAAATATGTTATGGGTCATATCCTGTCCAGTAGTTACGGTGTAAATAGAATGAAATATGTTATGGGTCATATCCTGTCCAGTAGTTACGGTGTAAATAGAATGAAATATGTTATGGGTCATATCCTGTCCAGTAGTTACGGTGTAAATAGAATGAAATATGTTATGGGTCATATCCTGTCCAGTAGTTACGGTGTAAATAGAATGAAATATGTTATGGGTCATATCCTGTCCAGTAGTTACGGTGTAAATAGAATGAAATATGTTATGGGTCATATCCTGTCCAGTAGTTACGGTGTAAATAGAATGAAATATGTTATGGGTCATATCCTGTCCAGTAGTTACGGTGTAAATAGAATGAAATATGTTATGGGTCATATCCTGTCCAGTAGTTACGGTGTAAATAGAATGAAATATGTTATGGGTCATATCCTGTCCAGTAGTTACGGTGTAAATAGAATGAAATATGTTATGGGTCATATCCTGTCCAGTAGTTACGGTGTAANCACAGTACCTGCCAGTTGCAGGTCACAGTACCTGCCAGTTGCAGGTCACAGTACCTGCCAGTTCGGTGACCGTGCCCCTGTGGAAGCCCCCCGCCATGAGGACGTCCAGTTCCTCCTGCCCTGAGGAGAGGGGCCGCGCCCTCCGCTCCTCCTGTAGCAGAGCCCACGCCTGTGGGGGTACAGAGGGTATGCAAAGTGAAGGAGTAGGATGCGAATTACTTTAATTCATATAAATGGTTTATACCGATCCCAGGGGCTCAAGTAGCTTCAAATTGAGATTTAATTAGCTTCAGCTATTAGCTATTAGAGATTTATTTTAGCTTCAATGATTTATCAAAATCAACGGCCAGTCGCTCGTTGCCTCAAATTAAGGCATCAACGGCCAGTGACATGAGTGAAAAAATATCAACGGTAAGTGGCCATATATTACACATCATCGTTCATTCATCATTTTCAACGACTGCTTCATCATTAGCCATCGTACTCTTCATTTTAAAAGTATCTACATACCATTCATTCTTCATCGGTTCAAAGACTGCTTCATCATCAGCCATCAAACATATCCATTTTAAAAGTATATATCATTCATTCTTCATCGGTTTCAACGACTGCTTCATCATCAGCCATCATACATATCCATTTAAAGAGTAAATATCATTCATTCTTCATCATTTAAACGACTGCTTCGTCATCATATTTATTTTAAAAGTACATATCATTCATTCTTCATCATTTTCAACGACTGCTTCATCATCATATTTATTTTGAAAGTACAGTACATATCATTAATTCTTCATCATTTTCAACGACTGCTCATCATCAGCCATCAAACCATCGAACACAACAAATTAATATAAATAATTCCTGATAATTTCAAGGCGTGAGTCACGCTCAAGACGCACGGTGGTGGACGAGGGCGCACAGATGCCGTAGAGTTGCTGCTGCAGCGCCCGCGCTCTGGCGGCGCTCACACGCAGACATCGCATCATGTCGACCAGCGACAACCGCAGCACGTCCTGGGGCGTCAACATCATTGTTGTGGTGCAGGGATACCTTAATGATACAATAATATGCAGAACAATATACTAGCTAATTCAGAACATTATTGCGGTACAATAATGCGTTGATACAAGTCTATTTTCTGCAGCACATTCACAGGGTGACCGCGCCTAACCTGTAGGGTGACCACGCCTAACCTGTAGGGTGACGCCTCACCTGTAGGGTGACCACGCCTCACCTGTAGGATGACCACGCCTCACCTGCAGGGTGACCACGCCTCACCTGTAGGGTGACCACGCCTCACCTGTAGGGTGACCACGCCTCACCTGTAGGGTGACCACGCCTCACCTGTAGGGTGACCACGCCTCACCTGTAGGGTGACGAGGCTGTGTTTGGCGCACTGACGAAGCAAGACATCGTCCAGCCCGAGGGTTGTCACCCGACGCTTCGCCATGCCCCAGCTCAGCTAAATTGTTTAATTCCTTAATTTTATTTTACAGGTTTCTTTTTTTTTTCTTAGTGTTCTTAGTTTAATTCATTAATTTTATTTTACAGTTTAATCCTTAATATTTAAAATAAATTTCTTTCTTCTTTTTAGGGTTTTCTTAGTGGTATCTGCTTATTCCTGGTTCATGGTTTGAGCGAGATTAGAGATAAATGTGATAGCTCTTGTTCCGCTTATTTTTGTAAAAAGTAATAAATATTAATCCTTCGTCTCCAGCTCAACTAACTATTAATTAATCAAGTATAACCATAACCGTTATTACCGGTTAAGATTAACCGTCCTCGATGTTATTCGTCACCTTGGTGCTCAATAATAAATCGGGGTTCAAAATTGTGGCTCAATAACAGAAACAATGTTTTATAAATTGACTTTCTTTGAGAATCACTTATTTTGTCTCAACCCAAGATAATAGATATAATTCAACTGAAATTGTCATAGAAATTGACATGGCCGAAATTCAGTAGTGTGGCCGTAAGTATTTAACATTCAAAGTGATTATCTGTCACGTAATATGCAAGTTCAGGAATGTTCTCTCAGTACAATGTTATTTCGTATACTTAAGTCTATATTTTAAATGTAAAATTTAATACATTTAAAAAATTTCGTATGAATATAAAAATTTATTGTGCAGAGGACCTAGAGATCGCACGCGCTTCTCTTGGGTGCCGCCACCCCCTCTGAGGTGAGGGATCAAAATCCCCTCTGAGGCGAGGGATCAAAATCCCCTCTGAGGTGAGGGATCAAAACCCCCTCTGAGGCGAGGGATCAAAATCCCCTCTGACGTGAGGGATCAAAATCCCCTCTGACGTGAGGGTTCAAAATCCCCTCTGAGGCGAGGGATCAAAATGCCCCCTGAAGTGAGGGATCGAGCCTCAGTTCAAATGCCATTTTTCATCTTTCTTCCTATTTTCTTAAGGCCAATTTGGCCAAAGCTGTGCGTACAGAGTAAAGCGTACAGGTAGTTAGGGCATCAATGCTACAAGTATACGCAGGAATATATGTACTGCAGTCAAGCCATACTTCTCATTCAGTAGGTACAGGTATAGATGCATAAATAAATAGGTACTCATTTCAAGACCCAAGATTTGCAATCTGGGTTCGATTCATCCAATGATCAAATTTCTAGACGAGGGCTACTTTCAAAAATAGTAATAATAAGTTCTCATGGAGAGTTAAAAGTGGATCAATAATTTTCACAAGAAATATCACTGGCCATTATATACATAAGAAGGCATATATATGCATTGCAGCTACTTGACTCATTGCAATTAACCAAGTTCTCAATAAACTCTATTCACAAATTACGAAACATGTAATATAGAGATGCCGAAAAATAGAAGCAACTCCAATAATTTTCCCAGAAATTCTCAGAATAAAACACATACAAGAGGAAAACCAATGCAGAATAAAATTGAGTTCCGTTTATTGAAATGGTAACAACATCATGGCGTCCATATAAAAAACTCGATCACAGCTTGTCTTTCCCGTCACACTAACGCGCCAACAACACTAGAAACCACAGCTAAAAATAAACAAGTTGCCTTTATGGAATGAAATCATTTTAATAATTATTCTCAATATCATCCATAAGTATCATATCTTACTATCGTACCACAATTTCTATACCTAAATTAATTCAATTGAATGATTTAGATTCATTTCCATTGGATGCGACTTTAGCTTGAAATTCATACTGCACGCTACGAAACCTTTTACTCATTTGATTACAGAAATGCTGAATTTGTAATCACTTGCTCACTAAACATTAATAGATAATATGGAATTCTCAACACGAGTGATTTTAAAGAAATCAAGCAGGGATATTGGCGTCGAAGAATGCATTATTCTTAACGAGATAACAAGGCAGAGGTAGGTAGTAAAACTTAATATAAACTCGCTGAATTGAGAGCGGTTTGGTTTTATAGCTACGCTACAATTGGCACATCAATACCAACAAATATTCGGACTTCTCTTGGCCCTGGTAATTAGATTATGGAATAAGAAACATAAATGAAAGATTTGTGCTATAGATGAGTGTATGAATTTCATCTGATTAGTCGGTATATAGACGACAGACAAATATCAGAGACTATATATCATGGAGCGCGAGGGAAAGAACACGGAGAGGCTGAAGCTAAGTGCTAAATAATCAAAATATTGGCTCAGTCAGACTAGTTTATGGGGAAGATGATCGGCAGTTTTGGGTACCATCATAAGTTTGCTTAAATCGCAACTTTACCAAGAATTGAAAAGACTACACTAGAGAATTCAACATAACTTAGCATAACATAACCAGCTCCATGATGTTTACACTTACGCTGGAGCTAGACTCCTAAACGATTTGGCGAAGAAGATAAGGTGAATTCTCGTAGAGTTTTCTTAAGAATAATTATAGACCATCTCAATAAATTGGAGTATTAATGATATGAAAGACATCTACTAATGAATATGATCATGGAGAATCTAAATATAATTTTTATCTAAACGGAGAGGCAGAGCTAAGTCCAGCTCGATCCAAAAGAAATCAGTGTAGTCCGACCAGAAATGATGTTCAATGATACATTGAGCCATACTGAGGGTCGGTTCTAGATCAAGTCATCACACTTGTACTCATGGCCATGTCAAGTCATCATCACACTTGTACTCATGGCTAACAAGGTTATTCGTTGTTAGAAAATTGAGATCCCCTCCTTGGCTCAGAGGACAGATGAAGTAAATGAAATTCTTTCCAGCTTTTATTGCTCTTTCAGATTGACAAAATTTCAGTCTTCATCTTTATCAACGCTTCAATCTTACAGGCAAAAAAGTCTGATAGCAAATCCCACACGTAGNCCACAGTCAAACCCATAAATTTGCGCTAAATTAGACTTGTCAACCGCAACAGCTTATGTCTGAATGGTCCGGTTAATTAAGATAGCAAAAGTTGCATGCATTTCGGAATATATATTGAGTATACAATGAGCAGTTAACGGAATGAAGCCTCCTGTTAGCAACTATGGTGATCTAAAAATTTTTCACAAGAATTACTTGATCTTGTGAAACTGAAGGAAGGAAATGTAATTATAAAACGAGCTGGCGAAAAAAAAACAGCGAAAGGCCTGGCAGAAGCACCAGTTGATGAAAGGCATGAAGGCATAGGTCAGGGTTATAGGAGGGTTAAGGGAGGCTTATAGGAGGGTTTAAGGAGGCTTATAAGAGGGTTAAGGGAGCCTTCTAGGAGGGTTATGGTAGGGGTCGACGAGTAGCCTGGATGAAGCCCCAGTTTTCCATGAAGGATGGCACGAAGCGCGCGGTGCGAGTGATGTCCTGCACTCCTACGCTCACAGCCGCCAGCTTCTTCTCGAACATGTCCAGGGCTTCCGTGCACTGCATGCCAATAGCCTGGTGGGTGCAGGGCAGTTAACATCAGCCAAGATTCAGAGAGCCTCATGAAATGCACTAAGGTAGGAACTAATATCATCTACCGGTAGATCAAGATTAAATACTAACTTACAATTAAAATAAAATAACATCTTGAAATCAAGATAAAATACCGTCTGGAAATCAAGATAAAATACTATCTTGTAATCAAGATAAAATACAATCTTGTAATCAAGATTAAATACCGTCTTGAAATCAAGATAAATAGCATCATGAAATCAAGATAAAAACCATCATGAATTCAAGATTAAATACCGTCTTGAAATCAATAGAAAATATCATCTCGGAATTAAAACGAAATATTATCTTGAATTCAAGATGAAATACCATACCTAATGATCATAATGCAAAAGTTAAATTTAAAGGAGCGCAATAAAGCAGTACAGAAGTTAAAACCAAGTGTACGCGTTACCAGAATTATAAAATTGGTAATTGTGATACTCCAGAACCATTTGGAGGGCAGAGAAGCAAGATCTGACCTGCATACATAAACAAACTTAGCAGAAAATAGTGGCTCCATAAGAATTAAACAGCTAACAGATATTCCGTTATGAAAAGCATACAACCAGGTCTTTTCTTTAGGTACGGGAGGGATGATAGGTCAGTTTTTTTCAGGAAACTAATCCCACTGGCTTACTTTCCACTACCAGAACGGGCAATTGTAACAAGTTCATCTGAGAATGATAAATGTCCGTCATGCACCACTGATGCAGCTTCAATGTGCGCCATGCATCACTGATGCAGCTTCAATGTGCGCCATGCATCACTGATGCAGCTTCAATGTCCGTCATGCACCACTGATGCAGCTTCAATGTGCGCCATGCATCACTGATGCAGCTTCAATGTGCGCCATGCATCACTGATGCAGCTTCAATGTGCGCCATGCATCACTGATGCAGCTTCAATGTGCGTCATGCACCACTGATGCAGCTTCAATGTGCGCCATGCACCACTGATGCAGCTTCAATGTGCGCCAT